TGCCTCTTTGAGTTAGCGACAAACTGCCGGCTGTGACATTTGTGTCAAACATGGCGTAAATTGGCAATGTAAGGCGTAGAGCACACGGATTAGGCGGGGTTATAGTGCATATTATGACATTATTTGGCGAATTGGCCTTGACCCATGTCAATGTCAAGAACAAGACATAATCGAATCAATAATTCATGAATTCCATGGTCCTATTTGCAGGTTTTTACATAAAGTAATCTTACTTAAATTTAAGGGTAAATAATTCCTGAAATAGGGTTTCAGGGTATTACCGAGTCAAGTTTATGCGCCTTTAAATATCAATAAAAAAAAGTACGTCCTGGTAGCTACAACCATCTTACTAAGGCTTGTTTGCACGGTTGCACCATCTTACTTTGACTTTAATTATCCTGCTTTCGCCTCCGAGATTTATTTTACCATGTAGTACCCCTGTACGACAACCCAATCCGCACACAATATTCAGCGTAGTAGTATTAAAAAACAAAAGAGCGGGCAACCCCACCCCTACCACGCTGTGGGCTCGGTGTCCGAGCGGTCTCATTCCTTTGTGCGCACGCGCAACGACCGCACGCAGTATAAGAAAAATGCTTAAGTGACGTCACCAGGACGTTTTTACCGACAAAAAACGTAATTATTTTAAGTTGTGCAGTGTAGTGACGAGAATTAGACCCAACAAAAGGTTCCATAGACATACCGTCGCTTGCTTGAACAATATTTTCTACCTCTAAAATTTAAACAATTTAATTGAAACTTTGCCATTGAAAACTCAATATGTTAGACTTATTTGTGTAGTATTCAACTTGAACCGTTAAATTCAAATTTAAGGATAATTCATAAAAAACTAAAATTTTCGTCACCTTCGTGGCATCACCTTCGTGGTGTTTTATACACGAAGGTGATTTTAGGCCACGAAAGTGATTTCTTGCTTTGGTTTATTTCAAAATATAGTGACTGGTGTTTATGTTTTTACAATATTTTAATAACTAATAAATTATACGTGGTTGGTAGAGATCAGTATAGCCTGACCAGGAACATAAAAACCCTCGCCATGTTGCGGAAAACTAATGGTACTAATTTCTTTTAATGGCAACAGTAACTGAAAACTTCATTGACATGTCACCTTGCATGTCAGTCTATTGTTGTCAAAGTGTAAACAAACTTTATTTTATATGTTTGCAATTGATTTTGTGAATTAAATTGCTAAAATATTTTTATAGTCGTGAAAGAAAAGTGGTTCACGATGTGTTAATGTATTTGTCGAAGAGAAATACTAAGGGTTCGGACAATATTTTCATTGAATAATGTTTCCGACAAAGGTTGTCAAATTGACTGACATGTTTATCATTGAATGATCAAACGAACTTACCAAGTGAAGTTCGATCTAAATTATCCTGTTTTCGCCGAAGAGATTTAAGGTCCCTCCCAACCCGAAGATTTCTATATCTTCTTCCCTGGAGGTAAACGTCAATGTCATCTCTTCTCTAAATATAATGAGACCGCTCGGACACCGAGCCCACAGCGTGGTAGGGGTGGGGTTGCCCGCTCTTTTGTTTTTTAATACTACTACGCTGAATATTGTGTGCGGATTGGGTTGTCGTACAGGGGTACTACATGGTAAAATAAATCTCTTCGGCGAAAACAGGATAATTTAGATCGAACTTCACTTGGTAAGTTCGTTTGATCATTCAACAAACGTCAAAAATCTGTCAAAATCCATACGGTGCGGTTATCGTCAAAGTTACGGTTAAAGTTAAGTGGTGCAACTCAGCCTTATTTATACTGTCGCCATAACGACACCATTATGAGGATTGTTGTGTTCCGTCAGTCAGAGATAAGAGGCAGTAAGAGATTCCTCTGTTCTTGAGGAATCCGGGTGAAGCTCGATTCCACCTTCGGCCTGGTCACCTCTCACCATCAGGTGAGACGCAGGCTAAGAGCTTTCGAAGCTTTTGAGCCACAATTTTTAAATAAAAAGATTAGTAATCGCCGGAAAAAGCTTTTCCGATATTAACTGCAGCATTTTGTTGTAATGTTGATAAAATCTACACTTACAACATTAACTTTTGGCCTAACAATGTAAATCGACGGTACAGTCGGCCGCGGCTTCATTATTCAAATCATTCCGATAACATCTGAAGAAGCTTCGGTTACAATCAACTGCGCTAGATAAGTAGAGTTAGCGCCAAGTTCGAGAAATAAATAGACGTTTTTTTCTTTATCTATTTAATTTCCTAGTTACTATCACTAGTTACAACTTTTTCATATTTACATATTTCATAGTTACAAGTTTTTCCTAATATGTTGTGAGAGAAATAAATAAATAAAAAAATAAAAATATTCATCTTCGTTTATGTGTTACCTACATGATATGTTAAGACCGGTTGATAAAAGATAGTCTCGTTATTAAATTGAACACATTGTAAGTAATGAATTTCATTTCAACTAGAGCATTTAAAAGGCCACATCTTTTGGTAGTTAAATGTTGGAATTTAAAAAAGTTTATTGATGATAATATTTTCGTATTTCCTTGACGATTGCGATCTATTGTGACTGTAGCTTAAGACATTAGATTTGCTTACGCAAGTGTCGCATATTGTACCCAACTTGGCTCACCTGTTACCTCCTTTGTAGGACTAAGCCTGCAGGTGGAAACAAAGGCATTACATAAGGTACTGAGGTTGCCTCATCTAAACCTTGGTGCCAACATAATTGTACGTTTCAGATATTACATCTAATAACAGATAGAATCTTCTTGTCAGACGATTAACCTCTGGCTTTGTGCGTATATGCTGCGTTTATGGCAATTTTAACTGTAAATAAATTACTTAAATGTCGGTTTCTTCAGTTTATCCTGGCCGAATATTCATTAAAGTTTAGTATTTCTTCACAGTTTGTAAAACAATCATTACATACTTTAAAAAAATACAAATAACTTAAAAATCGAGCTGCCTAAGGTCGGAATCGAACCCACGACCTTTTACTTGCCGGGCGACTGCTCTTCTATCAGAGCTGACTGACTGCTCATCCATTTAATAATTAAGTTTGTGATGCGACTCTTAACGCTAAGAAAAAAATTATAATCATTATGTATTCTAGAGCAAGAGTCTAAAAATGCAAGTATTTCTTACCTAAAAATCTAGATCTCCGCAAGTTCCAAGCCTTCCTAAACAGTAAGTTTGTCCACCTCCCGATCAGATAAGGATATTTCGGCCTGTTTGCGCAATGCGCATGGCGCCCGCGCATAAGGCGGCAGACGACTTGTGCAATTAGCTGCATTGCGCGCACGCTGCTGCATTTTGGACGGGCTATTTACATAGATGTATAAGCAGTAGGCTTGAAGCGACTTTAAGATCGATTGTGCCACAATTTTGTAATAATGGCTTGTACTTGCTTTTATGAGCTTTTTAAGCTAGTACGAGTAGTAGGTATGCCTGAATTTATCTTTGTTTAACCGACTGTTTTCTGGAAAAATGAAGTTGAAGTGAATCCAAATACCTATTACATTTTTATACTATGGCTTGGTTATTTTTAATTATTTGATCGTAGCCTATAGTTGACTTACTGCTTTGCTACAAAATGAATTAGGTTGAAGTGGAGGCTAACTCGGCTCTGAAATTGGCGTCTAGAAACTGAAGGATGTTGCTTAAACTTTGGGACACTTAAGAAGACCTAGCAAGGATTATATTGTCTTATGCTCAATGTCCTATCATGATTTGTAACAGTAAGCTTACTGTTCGTATATTATTTGGACTAGACAATTTGATAGAAAGAAAGAAAGAAAAAATGTTTATTCAGTATCATCGACAATACACTTACAATACAATTTATTTGATGACCGCCTAGGAATCTCTTGTATGTAAATGAACGTCGCTTTAGGTTCAATTTGCTACGGCTCTGTTGATTTACTGTGGAGAATAACACTTGTCAGTTTAGATAATTTAGATCTTTGGTGCCATCATATTGCATTCCAGTGTAAACTGTAGAGATCATAGCTACGAAAATGTCTTGTCTAGGTTTCTCTACATAGGGTGGGTGTACCAGTAACAAACCGAATAAGCGACATTTCAAAAGTAATTTTGATATTGTGACTCAATTATTACAACAATACCTAATTGCAAAAAAAAGAATTAACTACTCCTTGTCTATCATAGAATCAAACTAAGTAGCTTATTCCAATTTTCTTAATAGCTGTAAGGTTTAGTTTTATTTAACAATCAATGTGGAAAGTCGCAATGTGCCTTAGGTTGACCAGATCGTACAAGTCGTGTTTGTCGCTTTTATTTATGACTAATGATTGGTAGAAGTACGGCAGTGCTACCAAACGTAACAAAAGTGGCGGGAAATTCGACAGATTGTTATATTTTGATGTGAAATTAGAAATGGTGTACTACAGGTTCCTGGTGTGGGACTGGTGCACACACCCTAGTTTGTGCTTACCAGGAATTTACGTTAGGTGTTCCCGCTATACCGCTCAAGTATATCTTACGGAAATCGAACTAGCGATCTCAAACATTATTTCCTCAACCATTGCACTAATCCAGGGGTCGGCAACCTTTTGAGTCGGAAGAGCCAAAAATTACTATTTACAAAATTTCAAATTTTTAAAGAGCCACAAAAATTTTTCTTGCCAACAATAAATAGCCTCTATAGTTACTTTCATAAAGTTTGTTGATAAAAAAAAGTAATCTATCTATTCATAAGAAAAATATCTATTTAAGAAAAGAGAGTATAAGTAGCTGAGAGATAGAAGTAATGCCTAAACCTCGTTAAATCGTTTCAGAACATTTTTTTTTTATAAAATAAATAATATTTGCGAATGGAACTAAAGAGCCGCAGCCTCACATCCAAAGAGCCGCATGTGGCTCGCGAGCCGCAGGTTGCCGACCCTTGCACTAATCGGTTATGTTACTAATATGTTTGTGTTTGTGCAGGGTGGAGGGCGCCGTGAGTGCGTCGCGGCTGGGTGCGCGTGCGGCCGGGGCCCGCCCGCCCCGCCCGCGCCGCCCGCCCCCGCCCCGCACCCGCTGCGTGCCCTCGACCTCATGCAGCCGCCCTTACTCAGGTAACACTCGTCTGTAACACTACATGCAGCCGCCCTTACTCAGGTAACACTCGTCTCTCTGTAACACTACACGCAGCCGCCCTTACTCAGGTAACACTCGTCTGTAACACTACACGCAGCCGCCCTTACTCAGGTAACACTCATCTGTAACACTACACGCAGCCGCCCTTACTCAGGTAACACTCGTCTGTAACACTACACGCAGCCGCCCTTACTCAGGTAAAATTCGTCTGTAACACTACTACACGCAGCCTCCGTTAGAGAAAGGGGCGGGCGGGGCCCCGCTAGAGAAGGGCCCCGCCCGCCCCCGAGCCGCCCTTACTCTGGTAACACTCGTCTCTAACACTACTACACGCAGCCTCCGTTAGAGAAGGGGGCGGGCGGGGCCCCGCTAGAGAAGGGCCCCGCCCGCCCCCGAGCCACCCTTACTCAGGTAACACTCGTCTGTAACACTACTACACGCAGCCTCCGGTAGGGGGCCCCGCCCGCCCCCGATCCGCACCCGCTGCGCGCCCTAGTCCTCATGCAGCCGCCCTTACTAAAGTAACACTCGTCTCTCTGTAACACTACACGCAGCCTCCGTTACGGGGCCCCGGCCGCACCCACTGCGCGCCCGCGACCTCATGCAGCCGCCCTTACTCAGGTAACACTCGTCTCGTCTGTAACACTACTACACGCAGCCTCCGTTACGGGGCCCCGCCCGCCCCCGCTACGCGCCCTCGTTTTCATGCAGCCGCTCATACTCAGGTAATCATCAATCTTTAACATTATAACAAGGCAGATATGTACCATCCTAGACTGCAACACGACTGACTGACGATAATATCATTATTATCGTCAGCCCAAAGCAGTTCATTGTCTGTCTCTCCCAATTTACCTTATCTTACTTACGCTTGTCGTATCCAACTTTCTTCATCACTCTACTCCACGTTCTACTGCTTCCTGATGAAGTGCCAGACTAGATTTATATTTATTATTAGGTATCTGACATATTATGACTCGATCAAACAAATATTGCTGATTTATCAACGTTTTTCTACTGTAGTTTATTTGGAAGACAAAAAAATGATTAGTTATAGTGAGATGTTCAAGGCCCTTAACCTCGCTTTATCTCCCCAGGTCAAACCCCCTGTACACAGAGGAGGAGGAGCAAGAGGTAGTGATAATCGTGGACTCGCTGGAGGACCCAGCGGAGGGGGACGTGCCGGACGCGCCCCGCACCCCGCGCCGGGCCCCCTCTACCTCATCAGGTCAGTGGCTTCTAATCTTTTTTTTTATCCACAACGAGGAAGCTCTTGGCTTGTATCTCACCTGGGGTGGAATTGTGTAAAGCAATCGTAATCATTTGACAGTTCATAACGTACGATTATTCTGTCCAACGCTTTGTTTAACTGACTTTATCGTACGTTATGAACTGTTAAATGATTACGATTGCTTTACACAATTCCACCTCTGATGGTAATAAGTGACGATCAGGCCGAAGGTGCAAGCGAGCTTCACCCGGAATCCTCAACCACGGAGGAACTGGCTATCTAACTGCTGGAACACAACTATGCTGTTAACATTATTGTTATGGCGACAATCTCTAAACTAATCCTGAAAAACGATATTTTCTTTTAACGCTTTCGTAGAGTAAGGACTTCTAGTGACGAGTCGAACTTATGGGTTCGATATTTAAATAAAAAGTTGCTTTATGCAACCACTTTCAAAGAAAGACAAAAGAAAAATAATTTATACAATGCATAAATGAAAAATTCCGCTTAAATAGGCCGATTTGTTTAGGAAATAAGAAAAAAAACAATTGAACCAGAAAAGGTCGACCCTAGTAAGTGCCGTAATTTCAAATTGAATACATGAATTAATTTTTGAACCAAAATAGCACCCATTAAGCATTGGTCATGATCTAGGACATGTTCTACAAGATGATTGACATTTTCTTAGCTAGAACTGGTAACCTGTGCTCTGTTAGCTTAGAACATTTCAACCTGAAAAGAAAATAATTATGATTCCATGCTTCGGAGGACACATAAGTTTTTAGACCGTTTTTTTCAGCTTTTGTTAATTATTTGTTTCCACAGGCTATGGCAGCGGCGGGGGCAGCCACGGCCGGGTGTCGCCCTCGATGCCAAAGAGCGAGTACCCAGAGCCGGCTCGCAGGCTGTCCGGGTCGGACAAACCCGACGGATCTCACACCACCTCCGATTCGGACAGCCCTGTATGCACGCTCTCGAGGAGCTTGAAAGAGGATATCAGGTCGTGTTTAGGGGGATGCAGGTTAGTGGATAACTTGAGTATTTAACGTAGTGTAATTATATGAAGTTTTTACTGAGCAATTGATGTAAGACATTAGTCTTGACCTTTTTAGGCCATCAGTTGCAGAGCATTTGGATTGAAAGCATTACATATCTACATGTATCTATGTGGAAATCCTTAGAGGAGACCTTTATCCAGCTGTGGACGTCATTTGACTTAAACCTACTTATCATCATCTTTCAAAATGTTACGAAGCTGAAGATATCATCATTATCATCAGGTCATTTAGTACCTACTGCAAGATGAGGGTCATCTAGTTATTCACAAAGAGGCAAATGGAGGGATTGGCATACACTCCCACGCTGGCTAGAGGAATTGGAGTTGGAACAGAAGAAGTAACACTGGACTAGTACCATGCCAACTTTCTTTCCCACCGCTGCAACTCCTGTGTAGCCAGAATCTACAGCTTGACGTCTAATAAATACCCAACCAGTGAAGGTCACGTAGAAAAGGCAGAAGAAGTAGTTATGTTTAGTCAACAAGACAAACAAGATAGGTATTTTAGATTTCGACTTCAAATAAATGAAATTATTCTCAGATGGGAGAAAGACGTAGGCGACGTGGTGGAAGCAGCGGTACGGGGAGCGGGGGGCATATCGGCAGCGCGTGCGCGCCTCCACGCGGCGCTACTAGCGTTGCACGAGCCCCCGCGCGTGCCCAACCGGGGCCCTTCGCTGCCTTACTGCGGCCCTGGCGTGCGCCCCGGCGACGTTACTATGATGCCGAAGAATACGGAGATGTCTTTGTTGGTGAGTCCTTTTACTTTTTATGGCTTATTTTATGCGTCAATTAACTGTAAGGGAATCTTATCAAGAATTTCGTTCCTGAAAGTAAACCGCTAAGGGCGGTGTACAATCTATCATAATTTTTTACGTAGTCGCTAGCGAGTAGGTACGTTTAATGTAAACTCATGGGAAGCATAGCACATTCGAACCCTGGAAAGTGAGCTAACTTGTAAGAAATATATCCAATCGTTGTAGTACCTACCTATAACGTAGCATGACCTGCATGACATGTGTAGTTGATTATGGAGTTACCATGCATGGGGTCCTCATAATAGGGCTCTGGTATTGGATTATTTTAAATAATTAGATATAAAACCTTCAAATAATATTTAACTGTATACACCCACTTTACAATTTTCATATTACTATTTAGACACGTAGTTACAATTTTAATCTTAAGACACAAAGCCGCCATACAATATTTTAAATTAAATTTACAACGGCCATTGTAAGTGCGTTACAAACAAAGCTTAAGGGCATAATAGCAATTAATTCTACCATTATTTTATCAATAGTCCGTATTATGGCGCAATTATAGCCCTTCGAAGCCCTCAGCCGTGGGCCAAAACGATTATTTTAAGTGCATCGTTTCGGAAACCAGCGGTTTATGGGCTGAGTCGTGACGAAACACAGGCCCTAATAATCTATAAGGTTATATTTAATTACCTGTCAATATTATATTGGTAGAGTACAACGGTAGAGTCACGGAGCCCTTCGACGTCGTATCCAATCAAATGAGGATTTTTTTAGAACATAATGTATGTGTATGGATGCACAAAATGCACATGGCCAAACACTGGTAACTTATGTAGTTATCGTAGAGGCTACTCGTATTTTACAACACAAATGGATATTCTGACGTGCTATTGACTGTAGAAAACACCTAAAATTATGAAACTTACTGTTTTTTTTTTTCATTTTTATCCAAATGTAGAGCCAACGTGTCCGTTTCTCAAAAAAAAAAGAGTATGACAATTAAACTCAACTCAAAACAGTTTAATTTAACTGGTGTTTGAATATTTAGCCTAACAGAGCAAGTATTTGGCCACAATCGCACCCGGTGTTAAGTGGGATGCAGTCTAGGATGGTGTACCATCCTAGACTGCATCCTAGCTTATGTATATCTGCCCTGTTTTATACGGCCGTGTTTTAGCGAGACACTTGATATAAACTTTCTGAAAAAGCTAGAAATATTAAATTAATGACATGATAAGAAGGAGATTAAAAAACTGCAGTAACCGTCGCTGAAGCGTTAAAAGTTGTTAAAGTGTACTTTATCAGCTGATTAGCAGAATATCAACAAGACACAAGAGTCGTGACTCTGTCATCAATTACGGCCGATATTTTTAGTAAATCAGACCTACTTTATCTCTTTCTATTGTAACATCAAACTTAGTGATTATTGCGAAGAATTTCAATGGGACAGCCTCTAATTTGGTACTGGCATTGAGGCGCTTCTCGTGTAATTATATTATGCTTTGAAAGGTAGTCTCTACTTAGCTATAATCATGTCTATTATTTCGAAATACCGCAAGATGGATTGACAAACTCCTAATAACAGTTATTGGCCATAAAACGTTTAATTGGTTGCTAACTTATTATAGTAATGAGCATTGTGTAGCTACTACCCACACCACTAAGTACTTCTTTAACTTAAAGGTCTAAAGCTTAACTCAGTGCCTGGGGTATTGGAGCGGCACGGGAGGGTATTTTTGGGACTTCAAACGGGTTAGTAGTAGTTTCGCACGATTTTCCTTCGCACGAATGTGCGAATCGTCCCCTTCCAAAAAAAAATTTTTTCAGTAGGCGTTTCACCCGGATTTAAAGTACTAAAAACGGGTGCGAATCGACCCCTTTGAGAACTAGTAATCGCATACTAATAGTTCAAAAAAGAGGCGATTCGCACGCGATTTTAATACTTTTAATACATACGGGCGAAACGCCTACTAAAAAAAAATTTTTTTTGATAGGGGACGTTTCGCACATTCGTGCGAAGGAAAATCGTGCGAAACTACTACTAACCCCTTCAAACACGGCTTCAAAATGCTTCATGAATATGCTCTGTTACGTCATAATAATGACGACTGGCTTGCGCAGCGACCCAAAGTGAGACAATAAGAGCCTCAAGTTCTTTATTTCGGTTGAATCATGGTGAAGTAAAAACATGACGGTACATAAAAAATAACAAAGTCGTCCCAAGTGCGCTTGCTTCACCGCACGGTCATCTTCCATTCTTTAATTAACGGGACTATTCCCACCTCTCGTTCCCAACACTGCAACTCCTGTGTAGTCAGGATCTACAGCTTGACCGCCAATAAAAACCCAACCAGTGAAGTTTATCCCGGGGGAAAGTTAAACTGTCATTGGACCCGCAACGAAATTAATCAGAAGAAAATAGGAGTAGTTCGAAGTTAAGGTTCGACTTCCCTCCATTATAAAGCGGATGACTGGTGATAATTCTTTCATTCTTAAAGTAGTAGGAAGTATAACTACCTAGTTTACTTCTTTGCTAATAAAAATTGGACATGATAATGAATTAAATTAGAGTTAGAAAAATAACAAATTTCGAATTCATAATAATAAAATATATCCTTCATCCATAACCCTAGTCCATTCTCCAATAACTGCAATAGCTCCTGTGCACAGGCTGGGGATGGTCTCTGACTACATCCCATGATATAGTCAGAGACTAGATCCAGCATGTGCACCACTTTCACTTTTGTCGATTATTTTGCGCTTAAAACGGCCTCCACGTGTTGGATCTGTATCCCCACGCAAGCCTTATAAAGGACCGGGCCACTTTTGACCCGTGAGCTCCAAAAGCGTACAAAAAATATATTAAAAATTCAGATTATAAGCACACTTCCGTCTCTACCAATGATTGTTTTTAAGGAAATGTAGCGAAAAATTGCATCACATTTTAATTTCAAGGTAATTAAACCACTTTGTGTGCACCTGCTGGGAATCAATCCCAGGTTCTCTGGATGTCCCTTTTAGTGCATCAATTCATCATCATCATCATTTCAGGACGTCCACTGCTGAACATAGGCCTCCCCCAATGACTTCCACGTCGCACGGTTGGTAGCGGCATGCGTCCAGCGCCTTCCTGCTATTTTTATTAGGCCGTCGGTCCACCTTGTGGTAGTACGTGGCCTCCACTCCAGAACCTTGCTGCCCCATCGGCCATCAGGCCGTCAGTGCATTAATTAGGATATCAATGTTTAGGATGTTGCGTTTATGGTGTAGTCAATGGTAGAGTTGGACTTTACCAACTCGGAGGTAGGATTCGACACAAAGCGAACTGAATATAACTTTGTCGGGGAAGGCAAGGTGGTTACAGTTCAAACCAGAAGAAGTAGTACCTAATTATATTTGTGATTAATTTCTTTGTTCAACCACAGCTGATGGAAGATACCAATTACACACAGAAGCATTTTGTGGAACGCTTGATACCATCGGCAAAACGCACGGAAATTGCCGACGCTTCCCGACCGAATTTGCATACGATATTACAAAAATAAGACCGGGAGGAAATATTAGAGCATGGCCATGACAATGCTGGGATGTGTTTATAAATAAGGCTGTAGATAAGCCTTATCTTAATGAGCATTCTAAATACCACAAAATCCTCGAAAATTAAAACATTGCAACATTTGTGTGGCCGCAGCCTTACAATATTGCAACACTACTGTGACCGCAGCCTTATGTATCGCGAATATATTAATCGACTAGCCATTTAGTATCAATATCTGCATTAAACATCGGACATTGATTCACTTACATAATTTAGATAAGGACAGGCTAACGAAAAAAGCAAAGAAGCAACTGTATCACACGAAGGTCTCTATGACTATCTATTCACACAACGAGTGAAATAATAGACATTATGCTTTGGAACTGAAACTGGAATGGAATACAGATATATTCTATTCCAGTTTGAAACCGATATTATTTTGGAACAAATATAAAATTGGTCCAGAGCTGGGCTCTGATGTAAGATGCGCAAATATTCCGTGTTACTGACATAATGACAGGGCGGATTTACCAGTAGCCTAAGTAGGCTGCAGCCTGAGGCGGCAAATTTTAGAGGGCGGCAATTTTGGGGCCAAATGTCTGTTAAAAAATCAAAACCCTACCGGCGACAAATCTGTAAATCCGCCACAGAGGTGCTATAGAAGAAGACACGATAAAAAAAAAAGAAAAGAGATGTACAAAAACGACTAAAACTCTGTAATAAAGTTTCTACGCTTTTCCTCTTTCACCTTAAAGACATGAAAAGTAAACTTCAATCACAAGAGGTGGATGCGAGCCTCCCAAATGACTTGCGATTGTAGTTACGAAATGCCTTGTAACAGACGTTGAGCAGAAAATAACAATATAATGTAATTACTAACAAGTGCTTCTTCAAACGTATTTAAACACTTCAACGGTACTTGTCGAAGTCAATCACTTTCAAGAATGTATTTTGCAAATTACATGCGATGATGTAGGTTTGAAAATATTCGATGTTTATGATATTGCTACAGCAGCGGGCATGTTTTTTTTAAACAATATTAGTAATTTGTTGTTGCACAAATTACTAATAGTCCCGTTAGCCTCTCGTACTAAGCTAAAATGCTTGTGTCACGAATGGGCTGGGGCTCACCACAATAGCCGGGCGTCAGCGGGGTTCGAACCCGCATTCCTCGGATTACCAGTCGGCCAGTCCGACCCCTTCACCGTTTGGCTATCGTGGCTTCAATTTATTAAACCTCTGTCCTATCATTCGTTTTGGACTGTAGGGAAGTCGGTCTTTTAACTTCGAACTCCTCCTATGTTCTTCTTAATAACTTCGTTCGGGCCCAAAGGCAGCAACAAAACCTTCATTGGTTGTGTTTTTACTGGCGGTCAAGCTGTAGATCCAGAAAAGCACTGCCCAATTGGCTATTACAATATGCCCTGCGTGCCATTTTATTTAATGTATC